TTTGTAAAATGCATCCGGATAGGCCTTATCAGCAGATCCCCAGTGGGGCCAGCACCTTTTGGGTCACCTTCCTTCAGCCCACCATTCCTGTAAACCTGGCCTCTGCCCCCCAGGTCCCTCTGATGCCTTCAGGGTGTGGAGTGCTGGCTCAGCTGGAGGGGATTGAGTGGAGGACAGGGCTGTCAGTCCCCTAGAGGAGAAGCCCTCACACGGTGATGGGGACAGCAGCGACTGTCCCCTACTGAGTGTGCGCGCGAGGCAGAAGGCCAGGCCTGTGAGGTCCCTCGCATCGTTTGATCCTCGAAATGTGCCTCTGATCAGGAGCACATTAAGGGTAGGGGGACGGCACGTGTGGTGGTGCCACAAATGGGGAAGCCATTGAAGGGATTGGGGGACAGGGCTGGTGGGATCCGTTTGTGCTCTCAGAAGATGGTCCCGCCCGCTGTGTGGAGGAGATTTCTGGGGCGTTGTGGCAGATGCAGTGGGAGTTCCTCAGGGGCCCAGGGCCTGATGGTCATGTCCTGTGCCTGAGGGACACCTGAAGAAAGGGTGGGGTAGGCACATGTGCGGTGTGACAGGCTGTCTGCAGGCCCGATGTGTGTAGGCCCCGGAAAGACACAAAGAGCAGGGCTGGAGAGGGGGGCCAGACCCTTGCCAAATCAGGTGAGAGCTCGAGCTAACTTGAGGAGAGATGGAAGGTTTCTGAGCAAATAAGACCGCCTCTTTTGTTGTTCACTATAGTTGAGGCCCTCAGAATGATTCCCTGGATGAATGCGGCCTGGCAGGTTGTTGAGAGAGCCTCCTGCCTGCAGGGAGGCTCCTGGGGCGAGGCTCATGAAGGATTGTAACGCCATTGCCCGCCTCTTAGGGGACCTCTTTGGAAGAGTCTTCAGCGGCTTCCTCTTCATTACTCACCCCTGCCAGCTGCAGGAGGGTGGACCCGAGTGGGCATCACGGAAGAAGGGGGATAGTCAGGAGGAAAGCCATGCCCACTCCCAGGTGGGCTGCGTGTAGGTCAGAAGTGCCAAGTGGGTTTGCGGTTTGCTCGCCGGTGCGGGTGGGTGGGGCTGCAGTCCTACCATCCTCATGGCTCTGCACCTGCCTCCCCTGCAAACACATATGGTCGCTACTCCATTTGCCAGCAAACAGGTATGGGGCACCTGCTGCATGCTGGCCAAGATTCTGGGGTTGCAGAGGGGCCTCTGCTCTGCTCTCCTGGCAACCCCACCCCAAGGCAGAGGTGTGTGGAGAGGAGAGGGGACAGGGTCCCTCCAACAAGCACAGAATAACTTGGTGAGTGCTGTGGGGATAGCTCCTGTGGGAGCCCAGGCCCGGGGGTCCGGCTGGTGGCAGCCAGTCAGGGAAGGCTTTGCAGAACCAGGGCAGACGTGAGGACTTCCTGAAGGTGGTGGTGGGACAGGTGCATTTGAAATAGTTGATGAAACAGGAAGGCTGAATCAAGCAGTCCCCGTGTTTTGCCCCCTGGTGAAGTATCACGGATGGTGTCGATGGCTGGGGGTATGTTAAATTCGCTGGGGCCCAGGGCTCGAGAAGCCCAGGGATCCATGGCTGTGTTTCCCTCTGGGCTCTCCTGGACTGGGGAGAATGGCACCACTGTGTGACTCTCATCCAGGACGACCCCAAGGGTGCCTCCTGGTCAGCCAGACTGCATAGGAGTCAAAGGGCGCGGTTGGGGCTCCTGGGCTCTCCCCACCCCATCCATGCGCCTGGCTTGGGAATGGGGTTTGGGCACGTGACGGGCAGAGGCAGGTGCTTGGCTCTACCTGGCCTCCTGGGCTCAGCGGCCAGCTCCGTGCCAGGCTTCCAGTGACCCACCGACCTGGAAGGGAAGCCAGAGACTGGAACCTTTCTCTGGGCCGCTCCCTGTTCCCTGTGCCGAGGACACAAAGGGCTGAAGCTTGGGCGGGATTTCCTGTCCTTTCAGAGCTCCTCGGCCTCTGATCCACAACAAATAATCCAACCAGGGATACCTCTCATGAGCCTTTCAGAAGTCATAGCCTCTCATGTATCATGATTTTTGGTAAGTTCTATCTGTACTACGTTTGTACAGACTTAGAGAGCCTTCTCAGGGGATGGAGAAAGCAAGGTTTCTGTTCCTCTTGCTGCTTCTGCTGGCCGTCTCGGTGACTAGCACCACAGGTCCGGTTCGCCTCCCGGGTCACAATCACCCAGTCGCTTCTGTGCGGTTCTCTATCCCAGTCCTTACTCCTCTAGACCCTCAGTGACCTGCAGCTCTCCAGATTAGGGTCGGGGTTCATCAGGAGGTGTAGGCCTTGCTCCTGGCCCCTCCCCTTCCAGGTGCATTTAGTTTCCTCACCTTTTGTCCTTCGTGCCCCGTTCCCTTCTCCAGAGGCATCGCCTCTTTAGCAAAATGTAAGCCAGTGAACCAGGCTCTTAGTGCCCTTCTGGGCACCTGAGGTTTTAGCTCGGTTTGAATTGTGTGTCTTCCACCAAAGGCTGAGTCTTAGATGTTAAATAGGCTGGGCCTGGGGACAGCTCAAAGTTTATTTCTTACAAAGGTGTATAGAATTGCCTTGGGCTATGAAGTGGTTTCTGAAATGGGTTCTATTATAACCACAACAGAAAAGCAAGGAAGAGTACGTGAAACCATTTGTTTCCTTTTGGGAAGTTTTTATACCTCTATTTATTTATTTATTTATTTTAAGATTTTATTTATTTGACAGAGAGAGACAGAGAGAGGGAACACAAGGAGGGACAGAGGGAGAGAGAGAAGCAGGCTTCCTGTGGAGCCCGATGCGGGGCTCGATCCCAGGACCCTGGGACCATGACCTGAGCCGAAGGCAGACGCTTAACGACTGAGCCACCCAGGCGCCCCTATACCTTTATTTTGATATGATTTCAAATTTATTGAAAAGTTGCAAGAAAAATAAGGAACTTCCACGTATCCTTTACCCAGATTCACTGTTCATGTCTCACTTCATGTGTTGTTTTTTTTTTTTAAAGATTTTATCTTTTTGGGGCGCCTGGGTGGCTCAGTCGTTAAGCGTCTGCCTTCAGCTCAGGTCATGATCCCGGGGTCCCAGGATCGAGTCCCATGTCGGGCTCCCTGCTCGGCAGGAAGCCTGCTTCTCTCTCTCCCACTCCCCCTGCTTGTGTTCCTGCTCTCGCTCTCTCTCTCTGTCAAATAAATAAAATCTTTAAAAAAAAAAAAAATTTTATTTATTTGAGTGAGGGAGAGCAGGAACAGGGGGAGAAGGAGAAGCAGGCTCCCCGCTGAGCAGGGAGCCCAGTGCGGGGCTCAATCCCAGGACCCTGGGATCATGACCTGAGCCGAAGGCAGATACTTAACCGACAGAGCCGCCCAGGTGCCCCCCACTTCCTGTGTTTTATCTGTTCTGTGACTCTGGTATATATGCCATGTAAGCAAGTAGGTATTTCTTGGAAGCATTAGAAGAACCAGTTGGAGGTACTAGTACATTCCCTAAGAACAAGGGCATTGTCTTACATAAGCACTGTGCAGTTACCAAGATCAGCAAATTTAACGTTAATCTCGAGCCGTTTCCTAGTCCACGGTCTGTATTCACATTTTGCCTGTTGTTTCAGGAATCTTCTCTGATAGCCCGTCCGCTGGTCGCTGCCATCGGCGAGGCGGGCCGTTGGCAGCACGCCGGAGGGGGAGGCGCGTGCTGGGAATGCCGGCTCTGAGCACCTGCCCGAGGAGGCTTGCCTTTGTAGGAACAAGGAATTTGTGGGAGACGCTTTCAAGCTAGGTGGAAACTCTCTTCCTCATGCAGCTGTGAGCTGCCAGGCCGAGCGCCCACTGGCCCTTGCCCGTCACTGTGCTTCCTGTGCTTGTTAGGCTGCTTTTCCTCTTCCCCCGCTTCTTTGTGTTTGCTCGGATCCATGTGGGCTCTTGGATTTTCGCTTTATTCAATGGATGAGAATCCCTTGCCCTCATTATTTATTCCGACGGCTCGATTGTTCCAGATTTAGCCAGTGGGAGTCCTTGTTTCAAGCTGGCTACTGTGTGCTTTAAACATGTCCCCGTATTTCTCTGGGCACTTTCTTACTTTCTAGCACAGGAGATGCTGCGGGTTCATTTTATACTTTCCAGTGAGCTCTGGAAACCCTTTGTTTTTAATGAATGCACCAGTATGTACATTCCAAAACGTAGTTTATTGTGTACTACCGTTGGGGATTTATCTGTGTTCTTCGGGACTTTGGTGTACATGTTTTTGGGAGAGAAGACCTCATGACTGTCGCCTGAGTGGCTCTCTTTTCATGATAAGTGGGTAATGCAGATTTACCTTAGAGATAACTTAAACTGAGCTAGAGGTTAATTATTAAAGCAACTCTTATTTTTTTTTTTTTAATTTTATTTATTTATTTATTTAGTGCATGAGAGTTGGGTGGGGGGCGAGGGAGAGAATTTCAAGCACGCTCCACACTGAGCACAAAGCCTGATGCTGGGCTTGATCTCCTGATCCTGAGATCATGACCTGAGCTGATACCAAGAGTCGGACACCCAGCCGACTGAGTCCTGTGGTGCCCAGCAGCTCTTACTGTTTAAGCGCTGACTGTGTGCCTGTCATTTTAATTCTTACAAAGACCCTTGTTAACCATAAGGAAACTGAGGCTCAGAGAGGTGAATATACTGGTCATAGTCACACAGCTAGTGAGTAATTGGGCCAGGGTTTCAATTCAGTTCAGTCTGATTTTAAAGCTACCTTTTTTCTGAAATATTTTATTGTGGTATAAGGTATTTCCTTACTCCAAACTGTAGAATTTGTACATGTCACGGTTGAACAACAAAAAGCTTATTTGTGGTTTTAGGGGCTTTTTCCCTACTGCATAATTCTGTGTCTTCTATGATGACAAGTCTGCAGAGTTAAAGCTTGTGGTTCATCACAGTGTTCTCTCAAAGGAAAGGCCCCTTGTTTTCATTAGAGAGTGACTGCAGTCCTGGTGTTTCTGTGAATACCCAGAAGTTCCCTAACCCTCTTATTTTCTTCCTATAGGAATTTGCTTGCTAGAAAACAGAATGCAAGACTTGACAAACAAAATGACTTGGGATGGAAGTTATTTGGAAAAGTACCACTTCGAGAGAATGCTCAGAAAGATTCAAAGAAAATACAAAAGGTATACGACATACAAAAATGCAGAAATACGCTGTGCAGCATATATTTATGAACCTTGCCAAAATACCTTTATGGAGGCTTTGAAATTGGAAAACTTTGTGTTGATCTGCATGCCAAGTTCCTAAAATTTAAGTCTGTCTCTAGAAAGTTGATGTCTTTAACCTTTTCCATTCCTTGTAGCTTACCGCATGCGCACGAGAGCGCTGGATTTAGCTCTTCGTAACGTCACTTGGTCAGTTTTTCCACTACTAGTTGCAAATGTGTTTATTGTCAAATTTTTATTAATTGTGTTCCTTATTAAAGCACTCTCCCTCTCCGGTCCCCTGGGTTTCTTGGAGCTTAATCCTTCCAGTGCTGATTTGGCCAGGAATGCAGGGGCCATCATTCACCCCGGCTGTGGTATGACCCTCTGCCCCTTGCTGGCTCGGGAGCTGCCCCCTTGTCCGAGCGTGGGGAGGGCCTGCGGTTATCTCATCACCGGGCTTCCTCGCTCTCCATGCAGGGAGTGATGCCAACAGCTGGAGGCATGTGCTCATCTTCTCAAAGACGGCTCATGTACAGACTCCACGAGGCCAGGGGTATCTGTGGCCTTGGACCCTGACTGTTACCGCCTGCGTCCTCCCCTGGGCTCTGAGTCCCAGCCATCCTCACAGACTGCCGTTTGCCCAGGGCTGCGACACTGCCCCCCATCCCCAAGCAGGCTGACTCCTCCCACCTCAGTTTTGTATTCACTGACAGTCGTTCAGTGAATATTTTTGAGGACCTACTACGTGCCAGGCCTCGTGTGTGGTGCTGGGCTTCGAGAACTGACCACGGCACCTTGCTCCAGAGCGCCCCTCTGGTAAGGAGAGGCCTCCAGGGCAGGTAGGGAAAGGAGCACTAGGGGTGTGTGTGGGGGTGGGGCAGGGCCTGCTGGGCCAGGCTGCACCCAAGGTCAAGTTCAGAGGTGTGGCAGAGTTAATAACGTGGGGGATCATGAGCTGAGTGATTACCCTGTGCTGGTTTCAAATGAGTCAGCACTTGGGCTTCTAGTTCATGTAAAGCCTTCTGAAGAAGGTACTATTATTGTCCTCATTTTACCGAAGAAGCACTTAAGACACAGGCTGAGTGACTTGGGCAGAGCTGGACCGTACCCCGGGGCCCTCTCTGCTCCTCTGCCGAGGGGCTGTGTGCCGCAAGAGCCCGGGGAGCAGTGGGAGGGGCTGTCCCTGGGGCTTGTGCGCTGTGCTGGGCCTGGAACCTGTCTCTGACCTGAGGGCTTGGGGGAGCCCCTCGAGGGTTTTACTTACCTCTGGAGTGATAAGTGCCCCTGGCAGGAATGTGGCTCTTGGACTAGTCCAGAGGAGTAAAGTGGGGTCTGGCCTGGCGCTGTGGTTGTTGTGGGTTGCAGGGGACAGCCCCTTTGAGTACCAGACACGTTGGGTAGAGGGGCATAGCGTGTGCGGGGAGGCGGTGAGTGCATGCTGGGGCCCTGGCTTGAACAGCATGAGGGATCTGCACGAATTTCAGGTGTTTCTGCCTTGGCAAACTGAAGGTGTTCTGAATGTTGTCCCAACATTCCCTGTAGCAGTTGTCTGGGCCCAGGACTCTCACCAAGTTAGAATTCGTTTTTATAGATTGTTATAGCATACAATTAAAAGGTGATGTGTTTGTATGCAAAGCTCAACTATAAATTCTTAGAAACTAAATAGCCAAGCTGAATTTTTAAAAGAAATCCACGCTTTGAAAAAAGTAACCATTATACTTAGATTTTCCCATGACTCAGCGTGTTTGAATTTCTTATCTTTTTCGTTCCCTTTTTTTTAAGGTGAACATGGATTATGTTCTTGAACCTAAAGAATTTTTGTGAACCAAAATGATTAGGTGCGCTAATTATGTGTTAACACAATACTGCAAAGAAGAGGACCATTTGGCTTCAACCATCAATAATAAAGGATGTAATTGTACCTGCATGAGTTACACGATCCTGCCCGTGTCCTGTTCGCTCATGCTTTGTGTCTCTGGCCCTCTATCCCATGCCTCCCTCCCTGGGGCTGGCAAGGCCCATGCGGGATCCAGGGCCAGGGACCTGCCACTGTGGGGATGCTCCTGGGCATCAGGCTGGAGCTGGCTGTCCAGTGTCAGCTCACAGCCTTTAGAGAGCGCAGAGCTGGGGCTGACTGTCGGGGCCCGTGATCTCAAATGGTGCCGACAACTCCAGTTAGAGCCGAAGCATAAGGAAGGGTTTAGGAAACTCTATTTCCTTTTCCCATTCTCTTTGAAATGTTTTATCACACAGTGATTGAAGAGCATGGACTTTGGAGTCAGACTGCCAGAGTTGGTATCCCAGCTCTGCCACAGCTGAGCTGTGTGGGCAAGTCACATAACCTTTCTGAGCCTCCTTTCCCTCCTCTCTAGAATTTGGAGAACCATAGTACCAGCCTTGGAGGGGTGAGGATTAAATGTGCGAATGTACATCGTGCTCAGAACAGCGCTGAATGTCGTAAGTGCCAGAAAGCGTTTGTTGTTGTTACTGTGACACACAAGAAACAGAACGCAGTGTGAGAGAATGAGCCTGAGGCCTCCATAAACCCCTTCACTTGCATGTTCAACAAATACTGCACCATGCTGAGGCCAGGCCTGTGGTTGGGTCAGCACGCTTCAAGGAGCCTGTGGCTGAGCCGAGGGGACAGGTGCACACACCAGCCAAGGTCTTTGCACTGGAAGACTTGCATTTGATTTCCCACTTCACCTCTCCTTATCTGTATAACCATGGGCCAGTTACTCCTTGGCAACTAGGGCATTACGAGTCCTACTCATTGGATTGTTATACATTAAGAGATCATGTATGTGAAATATTTTTGTCCCGTGTTTAGCACAGCCTGTGGTCCAGAGTTAGTAGGCAAGGAGAGGCAGTCATGACTTTTCATTAAGAAATTGGTCCAGCGGGGCGCCTGGGTGGCTCAGTTGGTTAAGCGACTGCCTTCGGCTCAGGTCATGATCCTGGAGTCCCTGGATCGAGCTGCTCGGCAGGGAGTCTGCTTCTCCCTCTGACCCTCCC